TATTCGTATTTTACTTTGGATATAAATAATTCAATTCGTAACTGAAATAATTCGGGTACGATTTTTTGTGTAAGTTTTGATAATTGAATAACTTAATAGTGCCTCTATCAAACCTGAAATAACTAAAATATTAAAAGGGTATAAATATTCAATTAGGGTTTTTTTTTTTTTTTTGTTTTTCACTGATTTATTTTCTCCCTTTCCCTCTTCATTCTCCTGCTTCTCCTTTGAAATCCTTAGCCACCAAACTTAACTCAACCCTCTTTTCTTACTTAAATTCCATCCTTTATGCTTCGGTGAGTGAAATTTCTTCTTCTTTTTTTCTTTTTTGATGAAGCCCCTCCATTCCTTTGCTCATTAGATATCCTACAATCCTAGGATCTTCAATCCCTTATAACATGGGTGGAGCTCAAGAGGCGGGATGAGGCCAAGAAATTTCTTCTTAGGAGTATTTTCGTCATTTTGGATTGCATCATCGACTATCGCAATAGATGGACAACATGCTAGCGAAATTGCAGCTATAAAAAGGATTACCCAACAAATTCGGTGCAAATCCATGATGGGTTTTTGCTTCAATAGCTCATTCCTGAAGCACCCTTTTGTGTCCCATTTCCTTGCATCACAATTTTCAGGAACACAAGATAACAAGCTTTTCTGTTTTGCTCCTACTTTCCTATTTGTTCTGCTCTTGATGCAAGGTTGCTTTTATTTTAGGTTAAATGCCAATTTTGCTCCCTCAACTTTAAGGTTTTATTCAATTTTCATCTCCTAATTTTTTATGTACTTTTTCGATCCCTAAATTTTGATTAAAACATTTCGGTTATAGTTTGGAAGAATAAAACACCAAATTACAACAGTAACTGAAATGAATACTCGAATGTCAATTGGTTCAATGCACGGTTGTTTCATTGCATGGTTGTTTCATTGCATAATTGAATTATTTTGATTACTGTTAATTTTGGTTTAGTTCAAAATCGAAATCCAAATGCCTGCCCTAATGTCAACAGCTAGAAAGAATTCTGTTAGTCTAGTTAATTGATGTTTTTCAAGTAGACCATTTTGATACAAAATTAATAGTTTATAAATCATTTTGAAAGAAAAAATTGTTTCTAAACTAAACTAAAATAAGCTATATAGCTAATAGACTATTTATTGAATTTAGCCTAAATTGGCATTAAAAGCTTTATTTCAACTTCATCCATTGCTTTGATACACATTTGAACCGAACAAGAGACTTGACACCAAGTCTTACTAGAATTACATCAATAAGATCATGAGAAAACTAGGTTTGCTTGCTGTACTTGAGCCAAGGAAGATTTTCCTTGACAATTGTGAACTGAAATCGGTTCAACATGATTTAAGGTTAGGGTTTAAGGAAGTTGCAGGTGCTTTTCTTTTTATCAATTGGGAGGAAAAGGAATTGCATATGCTTGTTGACATCTTCTGTTTGGGTAAGAAACAAACTTGGTTTTAAATATGATATTTTTTGGGGGGGAAGAACATATTTATATGAGAAGAGTTTGTTGTTTTGGAATTTAGATTGTATCAAAATATAAAAACTAAAAATTATTTTTCAATTTAATGTCATATGGATATTATAGTTTTTTTATACAAGAAACATAAAATGATATTAAGAGCATTGATGGCTCCAAAATCACTAGCAAGTGTGCTAATAGCTCAACTAATAAAGTGATGAGAAGACTGTCAAACCCATAAGAATTGTAATTAATTAAATATAAAAAATAATTAATTCTAGAATTATTTGAATAATTAAAAGAGAAGAATTTCTAATTAAAACTAATTACAAGAAGGGATTGTGAAAAATCGAAATGTCTTAACAATTAAAATGGCAAAACTCTATATAAAATTATTTAAATACTCTTAATGAATAATGAATTAACATACAAGAAAGATTTATTAAAGATATTTAAATAATTTCATAAAAAATCCTGACATTTTAAATGTTAAGATATCTCAATTTTTATTTTATTTTTTAAAAATAACAATTTAAAATAAAATTTACTAAAATATGAGATATTAAGGCATTCAACTTCTTTATAATCAATCAACATAGATTTTAAATTATTATACTTTTAAGATATTTACTGTTCAGATAACAATAGATTTATATTTAGTTTTTCACTTATTAACTTACTATATCTTTA